CTCATGGGAATTTGTAACCCAACACAGCGAACTGAATGTGCCATTTGGAGGTTATTTAAGTCCCAATTCCAAGAAATGCTTGATAGATATGCACAGCACAAAATAATTAAATCCAATTAAATTTCTTGGATCACAACGCATGCCAAAAACTTAATGAGAACTAGATGAATACAACAACCACAAAAACAAAGTAGTTATTTATAGTTCCAATGTTTTCTGGGCAAAATACCAACAAACTCGATATATCTAAAAGGAATTTTTTCTGTGATTGATAATAGCCTATCGAAGGAAGATGGCTGTGAAACTCATTAGAATAACAATATAACTCATCAGTATCTACGTAAATAAGGCTAGTTTCCACTAAGGAAAATTATCCGTGGATTGGAACGGACAAGAAAAGTTTTCTTTATTAGTTACAACCCAGAGCTCACAAGACAAAGAACAATTTTCATGTCCGTTCCAATCCACGGATAATTTTCCTGAGTGGAAACTAGCCTTTAGTCGACGTTTATTCATAAATCTGGTCCTTCACCGTCACGTGTGTATTGTATTTTTGCCCAACTAACAAATAGCAATGTTTTTGGAAAGTTACCTATCCGTGACTCGAACAATAGGGAAATTGGAAATTGCTATTGGTGGATTTGGCAAAAATACAATACACGCGTGATGGGGAAGGGCCAGATTTATGAATAAACGTTGACCAACATAGATAATGAGTATATATTGTTATTCTAATGGAGTAATGAGTTTCACAGCCATCTTCCTTTCGATAGGCTATGCATGGATTAACAAATGTGCCCAATCCAATAACCTTAAACAAAGTTGGCAGTTTGACTTTAAACAAAATCTAGGATATGAAAATGAATGTGCAAAATGCACAGCCATCATTATAAATAATGAATCACAACGTTCTCTGACTCTGGCTAGATATTTTTATTTACGAGCTTTCGGCTATCATGTTCTTTCACCCGTTGAAGACTATAGGTCTGATTTCTGATAGCCGAAAGCTCGCAAATAAAAATATCTAGCTAGCCAGAAAAAGTTGTGATTCATTAAAATCTAGAATGCAAAAATAAATTTCTTTTTCCCGACATTAGTGTTGAGGAAGTTACTTTTGAACTGAAAAATCTTGAAATATCTAAATCTACAGGTATGTTGATCATTCCGGCCACAGTGTTAAAACTGCATGGAGGCACATGTCCGGCAGCCAATTAATTGCATGGATTTTCAACTGGCTCTCACTCAGAACTGGAATCTCTCCAGACGATTGAATGAAGGCGTGGGTATTATCAATTTATAAATCGGAGGATCAGCTTAAATGCGAAAACTATCCACCAATTTCAATCTTACCCATTATAAGTAAAGCATTTGAGAGATTTGTTTTCAACCAACTCTGCATGCGTAGTTAACAGATAACTCATTGTTATCCAAATTTCAATCCAGTTACCGTATTAGGCCCCGTTTACACTATGCCGGATTACTTTTCATACCGGATTAATTTTCACTTCGAAGTAAAAAACAGGGGTGTTTACACTATGCATGCAATTGTGGGCGTTGATTTCCAGGTTTTCTCGCAAGCAGCTTCGACAGCCATACAACGGCAACGGAGCTTTTGTATATAGGAAAATTTCCTAGAAATTGTGTTAAAGTGGAAGTGCCACCGAAGAAATTTTTTGGCGGGAAAGTTCATGTTGTTGTTCAATTTACAAGATGGCGGCCCAAGAAGTATGATTTATGAACAAAATGTTTTATCTCGTAGTGGACAACAAGTGTTCTTTGGAGACTTGGAGAGGCGTCGACCAACGTATGTATATAGTTTATTTCAATCATGGGCTGAAATTTGTCCAAATGCACAAGACGTGTGGGTTTAAAGACCCTTTAAAGCCAATCAAAATATTTGTGACTTACTGACTTGTGAGAATGTTTTGTTTATATTTTTGTATGTGTTGACTGTTGGGTTTCAGTGTAGATAGCAAAGAATTGACGGCTTTTTATGTTCCATGGAGAATGCAACTAGCTGCAATTACGTCCTATACTGTATATATACGGATATTTTAGCATAAAATTAACAGTTTATAACTTGAGATGACTCAATTAAGTTTTCTGCCATAATAACATGTGGCACTTGCCATTTGATTCTCTGATTCCAGTTCAGAATCAAACCTATAGGCCCATTTGCACTCGAAAAAATTTACACAGACAGAAAATTCTCCAAAAATATCATTGTCTGCCAATCACATTTTGCAAATTTTCTTTCTGCGGAAAATTTGCCTGAGTGGAAATGGCCCTTTACAGTTTACACTCATATGCACGCAAGGTAAATATTATTACTAGAAATAGTTTACACTAAAACTGCCCCCGGCTGATCATGGTGTACTAACTAGCTGTTATTAAAAATGATCATGCCTTATGGTAATTTACAAAATGTAATTACTACTTTCTGGCTTTCTTTCAAAACGCTTAGAAGATTGATAAAATTGGACGAACTTTAAAAGTGAACCACGTGTAACTTGATCCTTGTGCGTCTATCCGGCTGAAGGAATGGCGCTTTTCAATATAATGGAACAATGACTATATGAGTCCCTTGTTACAAACGTTTATAATGTGACCGTTGTGTGTTAAGCTTTGCTCAATTTTTTATATTTGTATTTGTTTTTGACTAACTGATGTGTGAACCAAGTCTTTTGGTTCCTGTTTTGATTAATGTGTCTGAAAAATCGTATAGTCGTTGATACTTGATAGAATCTTGATAGACGGAGTTTTTAATTTGCGTTACTGTTTTCGTTATTTGACGGATCGACTCCTTCACCAACAAATGATAGTAACAACGTACCTCACAAGTCTATTAATTAATAGACACGTAAAACAGACCACAGAAATAAAATGCCGTTTGACAAGGTGTTGACCCAAGCGAATAATAATTCTTACAGAAAGCAACGCAACCTTTGAACCCTCACCTTTTAAACTTGCGCAGCTACGGCACTACGCCAATAATTCACTTGCCTTTTATAATAATAAAATTTGAACCCTCACCTTTTAAACTTGTGGCCTTTTACTGTAATATATAAACTAATTGCTTCTAATCTTGATAGCTTTAACAATTCATGCTTGATTTATATTTGCATCAACTTATATCATATTACGTGCGGGGACTTCAATACCCCCAATGTTTTGCGATATTACCCGCAAAGCATTGATATTACCCACCAATGCTTTGCGGGCGAAAACCTAAAAACTTAAATTTCTCTGCCTCTGGTATACACCGTATGTATACACTGATATCATATTACACTATTACGTCCGGGGACTTCAATATATGCCTCCTCGGGTTTTGGCCCTCTGGGGCCAAAACCCTGCGGCGGCAATAAATTATATAGTGATGTTAGATCTCGGCAAAGCGAGCTAGGGCCTAAAAAATACCTGTGGTTCCGGTTTCATATCGTGAAAAAATTGGGGTCGGTAGGTCGGAAAGAAATTTTTTTCTTCTTCAATCTTCAATGATCCAAATAATGGTCGGTTTCAGGTTAGATATGTATATATACCTTACAATTTTTTATTTCTTCTCAAATAGGAGCCATGGGAAGTCTGTTGATATTTTTGTGCTTCTCTGCAACTTGTAAGTATTGTTGGTATCCACTTCTTTATATTTTAGCCGGAAACATTGCTTCTGAATGGGCAAACGTGAACAATGTTCCGCTCTAAAAATCACATTTGGAAAAACTATCAAACGTTTCTATAACTTTGCCTTTGAAAATTTTATATTATTTAAATTTGAAGAAACATCGAGAATCACAAATATTTTCACACCAAGGTTTTGTATAGTTATTGCCCCAACATTTGTAAAGTACTTATAATTGCAGTGTTTTTCCTACATTCCCACACTCACCTACAGTGGCGCAACGGAGGAAGAGGGGGCCCTTAGGTATATTTGGTGTGGGGGGGGGGGGCCGTTGACTGTTGTCATTGTTTGACATTATTTATAGAATGTTTATTGAATATTTATAGAATGTTCCATGGAAAATTCTGTGTCTATATAAACAATGACGCTCGCCATGGCTTAATAACAGTCTCCAACACATGTAACAACTTTTAGTAAGAATGACTTCTGTTTTATTTGAGATGGAATAAAAGAAAATCAGTTACCGTTGTCGAAGGAGGCTTTATTATTTAGCATTATTAATTTTGCATTTTCCCATTGATTCTTCGCCTGCATTTTTTACGTTTTCTATCAGTGTTTCTGGGCGATAGGTTGTGACTGATGGGGGCCCCTAACTGTCGGGGACCCTTAGTTTTTGAACTAACCCTAACCAATGAGCACTACGCCACTGCTGCACAAATGTAAATTATATGCAACTTTTTTGCCACTGTGATATAAATTGTTTTCATTTAAGAATTTAATTATATTTGTCTCAATTTCATTCATTTTCTTTTAGGCGAATAACAACAATGTTGAAATTGTTCAAATGAGCAGTGGTGATAATATGGGTTGTATGAATCTTAGACGAGGAAAGTTATTGACTTATTGTACTTGGTGTGCAACAAGCAGCAAAGTTTATTATAATGTTGAGGTCATGTGCGAATTAGGACACAAGTTCTGTTCCTTTCCTCAGTCACACTTGTGTCCACTGTTTATTGTTGATGTATGCGTAATGATTGTGTTGTGAAATAATTTCTAGCCACACCAGACTATAGTCCTTGGCAGCCAAAGTGAAGAAATAGACCTTTCCCCTTTTAAGTGAAATTTTGATCTAGTCAAGTCTGGACAAAAATTTCATCACAGTTTGAAAGAGCATCACAAAATTTTAGTAATATTCCGAAGTTTCATTGGAAAATGTTGTAAAATGCGGATACTATAGCCGTTTTTCAGTAATTTTGTATTACAAATGGGAAATTGATAATCAGATGATCAAACTGATTATCAATTTCCCATTTGTAATACAAAATCGAAAGCCGTTACTTGGTATGTTTGGGGGAAAGATGGAGATGACAAACTCTGCAAGATGATAAAGGAGGGCACAACAGATGATCTGTTTGATCATTTGTGCTCGATATTGCCAGAGTTCCTACAACTCTGCCATGTCAAAAGAAACCAAGCAGATAGCTACAACAGGGAAAGAGAGGCTGTTGGTTGTGAAGATTTTGATAAGTCATTTGCTTTGTTGCAGGTTGACTTCTCAGAAAACTACACATGCATGTTTCAAGACGAAATACAAAGTGCTGCAGCCCTTTGGTTTGATGGTAAGCTCCACCCGACAGTCATTGCATCTGATGACTTGAATCATGGGAAAGAGACGGTTGTGTCCTACATTGATTACCTCCTCGACACTCTTCCTGCAACTGTGAAATCCATTTCCATATGGTCTGATGGTCCTTCCTCGCAATTTAAGAATCGGTTTCTTGTTGCAGCCATTTCGTCGCTTCAAGAGAAACACAAGATTAACATCATCTGGAATTATTTTGCTACTTCACATGGCAAAGGTCCAGTTGATGGTATTGGAGGTTCTGTGAAACGTCCGTCACACACATTCAAATTCCGATTGAAGCCAACTTCCACCGATTTTAGTAAATTGAACTTTTTCATGAGATAGATGTTGTAATTACTTATTATTGTAGAAAAAATTGTGTGCCAACATAATATAGCTGAAGAGATATACTTATTAGGTTGATTTGTGCCTGAAAAAGTCTTTAAATGTAACGTCCGTCACCATGGAATTGCCCTTGGGGAAACGGAATATAGCCTTCAAGGAGAGAGCCTGGGTAAGAGGAGGGTCTTAATAGGGGTCTTTGGTGTCAGTTGTCAGCTAAAATTTAAGCCAGTTGTCAGTGCGATATATTGCAAGCTGTCAGTAGTCAGTTACTGCAAAATGCTGACTCATCATTTTTTTATCATTTGTCAGTTAGGATATTTTGTCAGTTGTCAGTCAAAAATTCAGGCAAATGTCAGTAGTCAGTTAACCCCAATCAGACCCTCTAAGAGGTGATTTTTGTTGAACTGTTAATGTTAAATGTATGATTATATATAATTGATTACACTAGCTGCCTTAAACAAAATCCTGATGGTTTCTAGTAGGCCTCTGGCCTCATTTGTCATGATAATATTAATTAATAGTCACTGTTAAATTTGGGCGAAATAATTAAATAAATAAAATAAATAAACACAACTACTTCTGGTTTAAAGTCATGGCGCTTTTTTGAAGGTTCTTAGTAGATGGATAATTTGAGTGAAATAATATATACAATTCAAACCTAACGTGGGACGGTTACGAAAAATGCAACACTAGGTCCTCCGGCAGGAATTGAACCTACGGCCCTGCGATTCCTGTGCAGTGCTCTGATCACTGAGCTACAGAGTCCAGTGACCGATCGGGCATTAACCGCAAATTAATGTACGTGTTTTCGGGTGATGCGGGTTATATTACCTTATGGAAACTCAAGATGTGGTTTCGCATCTCACTCGATTGAAGTGATTTTTATTTAAGGTCACACTTACTAGATGGATAATTCGAGTGAAATAATATATACAATTTAGACCTAACCGGGGACGGTTGCGAGAAACGCAACACTTGGTCTAAGAGCCTTCAAAAAAATTCATTTCAATCGAGTGAGATGCGAAACCACATAATTACATTTCGGATTCGCGACAAGAACCAGTACCCTGCTCGATTAGGAAAAGGCTAATTGTATTCCTTGCATGATTAAATGTGTCAGCGTAAAATAATTTCACTTTTGTGACTTATACAGGGCTTTCAAAATAACCCGGCGGCCGCCGGAGTTCCTGCGGTTGGCACGAAGTTTACCGCCGGTTACTGTGTTTAGTACTCGAATTATCAATTCTGCTCTCCTTCCTCCACTCTGAGCTTTTAAACAAAGTTATTTTTCCTCAACTTGGTCCACTTTATATAGCCTGGTTATTTTCGAAAATGACGTACTATTTTGTAAAACTGATTTCGTTATTTGCCATCATAAATCTTGAAGTTACTTTGTTGAAGAATGAAAGCGAGGGGCTGGTCATGAAGTATATAGGTGGGGGTGAGCTATGGAAATTGAGGGGTCAGTCAATTTTCCAAGTCTCAAATTTTAGACCGCCCCCTTCCAACAGACGCCTACTCTGAATAATTCTGAAAACAGACGCCTACTCTGAATAATTCTGAAAATCATAAATCCGGTCCTATCTTAAATGTGTCACCTGACACGTCTTGACCTCATGCATTATATTGTTTGGCATCACAATCTCTGCATTTGTCGTAGAACAGCAAATAATACTAAACAGTCAATAGATCGTCACTTCGTGTTAATAAACTGATGGATAAAACACATGGATGAAGACATTGATGTTTTAGTTATTGTAGAGCAGTTACGAACAGCAGGAACCGATGCACTAAAACAGCTACCCGCTCTTGTCAAACTTGGCGAATGGTACTTGCACAAGGCTAAGGTAACCGCAAATGGCGCCGATTTCACCAAAGCCGACGCGCTTTTCAACGCAGCACTTGTTAGATCGAGACTTGCGGGTCTTGAAATAAGCGAAAACGAAATACTTCGAAGAATCATTGAGACTTATCGCGACTTTCTGTTGACTTTGGAAAATGGTGCGGAAGTCAGCATAGACGAGATTCGTCATGAAATTCATTCTCATAAGGAATTCGTTTCCAAGGAGAGAAAGATCTTGAAAGGGCATCTTGATAAAATTGATGATTGCTTTAATACGACAGATAGGACCGAGGATGAATATAAGGTACTTCATTCGTTTTCATCTTTCGTTTTTATTTTGCTATTCCGATTATTGCGCAATTACTTGTGCAAGAAGCGCGCGTCATGTGGCGCGCACATATTTGAGTTGACCACCGAGAAAAGAGGCGAGAGTTGTAGGAAGGGTTTAACATGTTTTAATGTTTCTAACCTTAAAGGGTATTCCTTTACTAGTGCCTTGTCAATTACAATAGATGAATTATTGAAATGCAGGGAAAACAAGATCCCACGAGATTATTTGGGCACAGCTACTAGACTTTTCGACTCAATTGCCTTGCTTGGTAATGTCAACATTCAAACGTCGGGATTGCATGAGGCCTTTTACCCGCCTTTACTAAACCCTGCATTAAAACCAGCTTGTAACCGAATCCACCGACCTAAAAAATTGCTTTTTGCTGAGGATTTAATGAAAACTATATCTGATTCTAAACTAGAGCAAAAGATCATGGCTCACGAAATGCTTTCAAAACCGCGTTATCACCCTTACCCATTCAGCATCGTCAGCAAAGTAAGCCTTTTTTATCGAATCGGGGGAGGAAGCCTTTCCCTCCTCACACCAATAACAGGAATGGGAAGAATTTCCAAGCATCTCGTCGTTGATTTCAAAGGTGAAGCAATACCCTTTGATGTTAGAAACATACAGTATGTCAAACCATTTCTACAATCTCGTCTTGCCTCTTTTGTTGGTGGTTAAATAAGTCATTGTTTTGCAAAGTAGCAGTCAATTACCTCTGATAAATGAGCCACCATCTCAGTGTGTTATTCTTACAAATTCTATTGAGCATAAATCACAAACGGAAAAGGAAATAACAAACCTGACAAAATAACAAGTCTGGGGAAGCCCAGACCACATAAACAAGACATATTCAGTGAAAGATGATAATTAGAAAGTACAGAAACTCACAACCTAGGCCTCTATTAATAATACACTACCCTGAGTTATGCTAAGGTTGGGAGGTAGCCTTCTTCTGTTCAGAATTGTATTTTAGACATATTTTAAAAATATTTTTACACACTTTATAAATAATGTTCGTTTTGTAACCAATGCTGCTGTTACCATGATCATGAACCAAAATTTCACGATGGTAAAGAGTAAAAAACTAACATTCTGGCTTACAAGTCGTTAGAATCGGGGATGCATGTACATTGTTGGTGGTCATTGGTGTGTTGAATGTTTTGTCTATTGGAAGAGAATATATACAATAGATCACCAATGAATTACGACCAGTGTGAACCAGCAGTGGCGGAAATTCACTTTTTCCCGGGGGGAGGGGCGAAGCCTTCTAAATTTCCGACAAACCCCCCATTTGCACTCGAAAAGGCTGTTTTTAGCCCTTTTAAAGGTCAAAATTTCCGAAAATCCGTCATTTTCCACGAAGGTGGGGAGGGGGGGGGGGCGGCCGCCCCCTGGCCCCACCAAGATTTCCGCCACTGTGAACCAGGCTTAGGCCATGGTATTTTTCGTTCGTCTTTATTGTCATTTTGCAATGTTTAACAAATACGATATGTTCCTGTTTAAGGTTCATGCGGATAAGGTGCACGACGTTTTTCGTGACATTCAAGATATGTACATCAGACTGGTGACAATGTTTGCCAAAGAATGTGAAAGTAGACTTGGTCAACCACCGTGTGATTACGCCATTATTGCTCTGGGCTCAGTAGCACGAATGGAAGCAACACCTTTTTCAGATCTGGAATTTGCTATTCTTTACTCAGACCCAGCTATAGGGGACAAGATTAGCTACTTTCGAGTACTGAGCCATTTTCTTCATTTGAAAGTTATTAACCTGGGCGAAACTATCCTACCAGCTTTGGCGATTGAACAGCTCAACGACTTTCAGTCCTCAGATCCCGAGGGTATTTGGTTCTATGACTCGGTAACCCCTCGGGGTATTTCGTTTGATGGCGCGATGCCGTGGGCTTCCAAAACCCCGCTAGGAAGAATGGCAACAAAAAATAAACCTGCACTGGAGTTGATCAGGACACCTGAGCAAATGGCCGAATTACAAGATGAAGAAATTGCTGTAAAAGAAGGTTATCACTTAGGTAAGGTTATAATAGGAACAGCGGGTGTTAGATTACTTAGATATACAGCTATTCCAATAGGCCTATTAAGTTTGTCACAGACAATAGTCAAATGTACAATATGAGCGCCAGACGAATGATGGGAATAATCATATTTTCAATTAGTTACATCAGTATAACCTTGTGAAGCCAACACATCGGTATAACCTTGTGAAGCCAACACATCAGTATAACCTTGTGAAGCCAACACATCAGTATAACCTTGTGAAGCCAACACATCAGTATAACCGCCTTGTGAAGCTAACACATCAGTATAGCCTTGTGAAGGTATATATAAATATCATATTTGTATTTCCACGAGTTACCGATGTGTTTTAAAACTATGAAATCGATGTTCCCATAATTCTTGTCGTGCTCATATTCTACAATTCTCTGTGACAACGTAAATGGAAATAGCTGTATAATTAACCCTTCGCTTAGTTAAGCCTGTTTATATAGGTGGGAACTGCAGGGATTTACGACGTAGCAACTTGATGACTCCACGCTTGAAGGGGACGTTCAGCAACTTTAAAAACTTTCAAATTTAGATTAAAACGCTAGGAACCACCACAATAAATGTCGCAATTCTTATTATGGTAATGTTGTCTAACTAAATTTTTTGTTACATTTAGCTGATATTATGTCCAGAGCTGTATTGCTTCATGGAGAACAAGCTTTACTGGACGAATATAA